CTTTATCGGAGGACATTAGGCAAAATTTAAATGTTAATATGCGGCATTCAGGTTCAACATTTCAGTGACGTAGATAATGTCACCATCAAATACTCACGCAGGGCTTGCAATATGACATCTAATCGTGATGAAAAATATTGACTGCACGATCTTCTGACGGCTCTGACAGACAGAATTTGACGGAGGAACGTTGCAAAATGGGGTTGAGCGATATGGAACAGGATTTTTTCAAGTTCGCACGATCAAACCAGGCACGTATCCAGGGGGGGGGGGGCGAAAGCCAAAAAAGGGGGAAAAGAGAGAAGGAAAGAGGTGACAGAAGATGAGAAAGTGCGAGAAAAGAAGAAATTTGAGATCGTCGAAGATATTTATCTGTTTTAATGTAGAGTCTCAAATGAAGACATCATGTTCATTCCTAAAATTTTCGTCAGAACAGCCTCAAAATGCGTCCAAATAGAGTTGAGATTTCTGAGATTTTCCAACTTTGTTGAATGTAACAATTCAAAAGAATTTTGTGTAAAAAAAAGTGTAAATTTTATGCAGAAACTGATGGAAAATCTGCGTTGCAGAAGCCTCGAAATGCGTCCAAATAGAGTTAAAATTTCAAAAATTTTCCAGATTTTTTGAATGCATATAATTTGAAAGTATTTTATGCTGAAAGTAAAAAAAAGGCGTAACTTTTTTGCAGAAACTGATGGAAAATCGGCGTCACGGAAGCCTCGAAATGCGTCCAAATAGAGTCAAAAATTTTCAGGATCTTTTTGAATGCATATATGCATTTTTTGCTGAAAGTTCAAAAAGGAAACGTAATTTTTCTGCAGACATTGATGGAAAATCTGCGTCACGGAAGCCTCGAAATGCGTCTAATTACATTACAAATTTCTACTATTTTCCAGACCCCCATCCTTTGCTCTGGGGGGTATATGGAATACCCCCCAGACCCTCCTGGTAGTAGAGGGACCCCACAAGCCCCCCCCCCCGTAGTAGGGGGACCCCACAAGTCCCCCCCTCCGACAAAATATCCTGGATACGTGCCTGGATCAATCTAGTAGGTCTTATCGACCAATAATTTGATTACACTCGATGGATTTGTGATTAAGAAATTTAAGTTTGAATATGATAACAAACAGTGAATTCAAACACAATCTGTTGATGAGGCGCGTGCATTAACCAGATTACTTTTCTTTTTTTCATTGAAAGTTAGAGTATCTTTTTAGGGAATCTCTACGAATTACCTCTTGTAAAAATGCGAAGAGTATATTTTTTTACGCGGACAAAAAAACGCGCAACGGAAATAGAAGGGAATGATCTCAAGCAACCGTGTAACTTGTCAAAGAAACATTCGAATCAATTACCCACAACTGAAAAACTTTAGTTTCATCTCCAACCTTTTTTTGAGACCTAATTTAGCCGGATATGTGTCCCCAGAGGAGCGTGAGCTTTATGCTATTCAAAACGAAAATTTATGTTTCGGGTTTTTTCTCGTTACTGAATTGAGATTTTGTGTTCAGGTCTTAAAGTATCTGGTGAGAAAAATCGGAAGATGCCACAAGTTTTTGAATTTTAATGAATAACATTCTTTCATTCGCCAGCAGACATTTGCTTAAATAAAGTGAATTTATGTTTAATCGTTATTACTCGTAAAAATGGCCTCTTCGTCGTTAAATTGGCTTTTATTAAGAATTTCATTAGGTTGCCGATATTGAGAGAGTAATCGTAGTCTTTGAGGAAGGGCGTAAAAATATCTTTCAAACTTCTGTCAAGCTTCAAAACACATATGAAATATATTTATTGAATCTTTTATCCCACAAGTGAAAAGAACACACGCACGTTTTTTTAGACCTGGGAATTTTTTTTTTTAACTGAGGATCTGAAAATTAAAGGTGATTACAAAATAAGATTGACCCTATTGAAAGCCTATCACTAAAGCTCATATTTGTAGATTGCGAGCTGCATGATTAAGAGGAATAAATTGGATCAGATGATTTCGAATGTAATTTCAATTTATTGAAATCCGTACAGCTTTGGGTTGCAGGTAAAAAAGGAAAATTGTAACTGAACATACAAACGTTAGATAATAACTGGAAGTAACACGATTAAACCGCTGTATCTATGAAAAACCCAATAGTAAGGCCGAAAGGCTGCGAGCAACTATTACAGCTCCGAAGCTGCTTATATTGCCTATCGAAAAATTGAAGGCGAACTGATCGGAACGGGTGAAACCGCTACGGTTATGAATATGAGCGTTGCCGATATGTTGCAAGCAACTATTACTGCTTCCAAGTCCCTCACATTGCCTATCGAGATATTGAAGGCAACTAGTCGTATAATGTGATGAAGGAAGGGAGGGGTATTAACCCAATAATGCCCCGAATGATGCAGGGCTCGCTAACTTGAAAGGATCCCTGACGATTTACAATTAAAACATTCAGTTGTACAGCTATTAAAGGGGTCCAAAAGGCGGGGTCCTATAACTATCTGAATAAACTAAGTTGTCGGTAGGCAATGATCAAAATATTAATGCCAAATGTTTTGGCCTAAAACGCGATGTTGCCGAATTGGTCTCCTGCTTGCCGGTCATTTACTGTTCCTGCCGCTGACGTCCGTTTGAGGCCCGGAAAATGTTCGGGAAATAACTCATGCGTCAAAACGATAAAAACATTTTTGCACTTAAGCTTTTGATGACGTGTTACTGAAAAAAGTTGACGAGAGTGCTTCCCTCGATAATCGCCTATCTTTTAAAATGATGAACTCTCCGATTACCGCTCAAAGTCCTAGCAAATGGAAATAAAACTTGCTACGACGACGTTGCAATTTGGCGTAGCGACTCTTTGTAGTTCCGAGCTGGCGATTTTAGGTGAAAGAAACATCAGGTAAAAATTATAAGAATCTATAAAAATTGTGTAATTATTGGCCTCTTCTTCGTGGCCAGCAAAACGCAATTCGTAACTATATCTCTGTTAATACAATTACGTTTTATAAATTACTTTTTTCACATTAATTTATGTATTTATCAATCTTGGTCGTTGGGTATGTAGCCAAAGTGCTAAAAAGTATGCAAGCATCAACTTACATAAAAACTATTTTATTCAATATAATTTTTGGTCGAAGCTTTTCGGCACAATTTTCATCGTCAGGACCTTTAAAGTCAAAAAACTATAACTTTTCAATTAATAAACAAGAGACTGGCCTATCACGGTGCCGAGTTGGATCCTCCCTCCCCCCATTATTTTCCGATATTATAGCCATAGGCGCACGTGCACCTATTTTGCAAAAATTGCCATAGTTAGGTTAGATTGTCAGAGTTCATTTTTGAGTGAATGCGATACCAAGAATATCTCCCACACAAATTTCCTCTCGGGAATTTGTGCACAATTGTGATGAAAACAAAGTTCCACTTTTCCTCCCTGGAAGTTACCTAAGTTCGGCGATTTCCAGACGATGGAACGTAACAGCATTCCAACTTGAAAAAATTCCACTCGTAAATCATAATTTCACTGGGAACCTTACAGGATTGCAAAATCTCAACGATCTTGTGATCCTAGGATTGCAAGCTCGTGTGCGCCAGGGACCGCACACCATATTAAGACAACAACTGCAGTATTAAATACTGTTAGTTAGAATAATAAGTATCGTATTAGAATACTTATTATACGTTCTTTACTTTTAAAACTGTAACTTAATATTAAAAATAGTCAATAGATACCTTAGGTTTATTAGGTAGTAGTGACATTATTGTATTGGTTAATATCAATACAATTTATAAAAAAAAAAAAAAAAAAGGGACCGCACACCAGGACGGGGGTAGGTTCGGCAAAATACAACTTACCTGCGACTTGAGCGCGCACTGTGGTATACGCGTAATGCATGAAGTATCCTGCAGACTTATAAGGCGCTACTTGACGTCGCGCGAGCACCGTGCTGTACGCGCAATGCATGAAGTATCCTGCGGTCCTGTAAGGCGTCAATATGCTTTCCGCGCCGTGCGCGCTAGCCCCGCGCCGGTTGCACTGTGTTGACGGGATTATTCAAACTTGCGACGTCACCGATATTCAACTTATGGTTTTGATGTTTTTGTACGGTTTAATATTTTATTTTCATTTCAAATGATAAAACATTACATGAAACCCAAATAATTTTCTTCTCTTTATTTACATATTTTCACAATATAATTTTAAATAGAAGCATGCAGGTGAAACCACTTTTACGTGTAGGCTCCCTCGTTGCTCAGTGATGTATTGGTGATCATTTGGACTACATTTTGCTATTTGGAACCACAATTTCTGGCTCATCTGCAAAAAAACTTGTGTGCATAAGGATACTGACGGTACATGCGTTGTTCCTAAATAAAGCCAGATAAGTGGTTCCTAATTGCAAAATGGAGTTAATTTAACTTTGGTACGCACTTTGTTGACTGGGTTTTTATTTAATTATAGATAAGATGTTTTTTAAGGATTAATCACAGCGCTGCACATATTTTATATAACTTGGTTCGTTGCCAAATGTATATCTGTTTGTGTTCATTCAACAGTTTTTGGCAGGTTCATGGGTTTAAATAATTGTGTCTCTCAAAATATAATCGGCTAATCTTTTATAATTAATATTAGCTGAATTATTTCTATATTAAGAACTAGGCAAAACAAATTATTTTTTTTAGCTATATTTATATACTTTGGTGATTAATTAGCTCATTAAATAAGTAAATACATTAAAAACAAAAAAATACAAAAATATAATACATTCACATAAATATATTACAATCGGACTAAATGTAATTGCAATTAGGAACTATTAATTCCGGCCCGGTTTAAAAACAACGTATGTGCCATTAGTTTCCCTATACACATAAGTGTTTTTTCAGATGAGCCAGAATTTATAGCTCCAAATTGCAAAATGCAGTCCAATTTTTTTAGAATGCCGTGACGATTTGGACTGCATTTTGCAATTTGGAACTATAAATTCTGGTTCATCTGAAAAAACACGTATATGCACGGGGGAACTAATGGCATATACGTTGTTTTAAAACCGGGCTATAATTTATAGTTCCAAATTGCAAAATGCAGTCCATTTACATGTCTATGCGTTACTATATGGCTCCGTTGCCAGGGAAACGCCATGTAAATCCAGTGGACGCTGCCGTGCTCTCACCTCTGGACTTCTCCGAGGACTACTTCCCGAGCTTATCCGTGGGCTACCTACTTCTAGCTCACTCTCTGTTTCCTTCTCATCTTCTTCGAGTTCAAGTCTTTGTGAACTTTCACGTTTCGACTGGGTGTTCTGGGCTGCTGTTTTCTTCTGCCGTGCTCTCCACAATCTCTTCTCCGCCTCAACTTTACTTTCTTCGTCGTATGCCACGCCAAGCTTATGAAAACTATCAAACACCAATTTCTTCAAGTCCTCGCGACCGTAAACCTGCACTCCTTCCACCTTAAGTAACTCAAAGACTTCCTTCCTCTTGAAATTCATGTTCATTTCCCGAAAATCTCCAAGCTGTAATCTCCAAAACAAGAACAGGTCGGAAAGCGGCTGCGACAACTTGCACACACATTTTAGGTTCGTGAATATGCATTGATTCTCTATTATTAGCTCCTCCTCCGCAATCGTGTGGCTTACTAGTGTCCTAGGATCAACGAAGTAGCCATAGCTATCCCTGCAGTGATGCCAGCATTCCCTCCATTTTTTTTCATGGCGATCTAAGCAAAAAAATAATGTCATCAGGCAGAATTAAGGTGTTCTCAACCGTTTTAGAAAGAAGAAAGACAACGAATTCCTGGAACAATTATTCCTCATAATTATGGCGCAATAGTTAGTGTGCGACTGGTAACATATGCCAGATACAAACGTATACCAAAACTAGGGGGCCCTGCCCCCTGACCGCTACGCGGCCCGACCCCCGAGAGGGCGCCTCGCGCCCTCAGGCCCGCTTCGCGGACCCTATACGGTATACGCTTATGTATAGGCAAAAATGTTCTTCCATTTTAATACACCATTTTGTGTTCGAGCTGCATCGATTTCAAAATTTTTGACGTAACACTCAGATTTGTAAATGATGAGGAATAGCTGGATGTACATAATTTCACAGTCCACTTACTGGAGAAATTTCCATTTATTACGTTATTTTTAAATGCTTAATTTAAAAAAAAAAAATCGGATTTCGACCGTTAAGAGTTAATAATATTTGGTCCGTCCCAACGCGACGCAGCGCCTGACTTCTCACTTTTTATCTGCTGTAAATATTAAAAGAAATTCAGCAATCAAGTAAATTGACCAATGCCACAAATCGAAGCCGGAAGAATGAGGAAAAATTGAGTAAAAACCTTATACCTTGGACCTTGAACCTTAAACCCTGAGCGATGCACCGTTCCTCAACGCTTCGAATGAGGAGCCCTTCACGAGCTTTTCCATTGTTTTTTTGTTTATTCGAGTCACTCAGGTAGAATCCCACACCTCGACGTTTCTAGCGGAAACGACTTATATCTCACGCTATTAACATTGGACTTAAGTGACATGAGCTTTAAAAGCTCTACAACATTAAAAGTTCGGGGTTCCATAATTTTTTGCACATCTACACCTACAACAGATGACATTCATGTAAAGATCATCCTTATAGGTCCGGCAGTTCGTCAGAAATAGTGCTTCCAAGATTTTGCTTGTAGCTGTATAATAGAGATATGCACTGATTTAACCGAAATTAGTTCAAATTATTGCATGTTGCCTGAAATCCACTCAAGGCTCCTTAAAAGGCAGAAGAACATATTGGTTTTTTTTTTTTTTTTTTTTTTTTTTTTTTNTAGAAATCATCTACGTAATGTGGGTACTCGGAGCAGCACTACGAAAAACGTATCTATCTAAACATTAGAATATTTTTACTATTAATCAAAATGAATCATCTGGCAAATATCACCCTTTGACTAAATTCAATGTTTCCAATCATTCAAATGAGTCAGATACATCGTTCAAATCCAAATCGTTCTCCATCTTGGAATAAACGAACATTTTGCATAACATATAGGTATCTTTTCGAAGAGCTTATTTCGTCTCTTCCTAGAAATTTGATTCCATTTTGCCGAACACTGTCCAGTTTGTACTTCGTCTATAGGTGAATTTTGATCAGTTTGAAACTCTGCATATGATCTTAACTTTCTCTTGAATCACAAAAACTTAAAAATACACAATATTACTCACAACTTGTTCTAGACGCGTATGCTCGTCGAAAGTCCTCAGCATCGCGTTTCTTTTGTAGTTCTTCCTTTTCCTCTTTGCTAAGATGACTATATTTTTTGGAAAAGACAGACTTGAGTTTACTCGAGATGGATTTATTTAGCATCAGCCCTGACGTAGCACCTGAAAATAAAATGCAAATATCCAGTTTACTTAAATTCCATTCAAAACCCTTATACCTGTTGAAGGCAAATTGTCAAATCAGGCATTTTGTCAAATGCCTAGGCAAACAGTAAAATATTCTAAAGACAGCAAATTCAAGAATGTTACAAATTGAAACAAGTTACTTTTTTCCAGCTCCTGATGAGGAGCTCCTACTTTTAAGACTCTACTAATAAGGTTTCAAGGTGGAGAAATGGTGTGGACCAAGCACTATTTTTCCACCTTGTTACATACAGTATTCGGGTCATTTCTTAGTGTTTTTTTTTTTTTTTTTTTTCTCACTAATGAGGTTCTTTTTCTCTAATTTCTAACATATGGATCACTCAACAATTCAATGTGGTGCCCCTTGGCTCAAAACAATTACATATTTTGATTTAACTGTTTATATACTGCATCAGAGTTTGGATTTGTTTTCCCCCTGTAAAATTTGGATTCCCAGAATTGACTCCTCTTCGGAGCTAACGATTTATTTACCCTGTCGCGGCGTCTCGGTGTCATCAACAGTCGAGCCGTCAGTCCTGAATGATGATCCACCAATGGAAGCTGAGGATTGTCTCGTACGGGAGGAGAGGTTTGAAAGTAAAAAAGTTTTTCCTTTAGAAAGAGAGTGCGAAAATTGCATGGCCTCTAGAAGGAAAAACAGATACGCTCAGTAGAAAAATAATTATTAGCGAGTAGATAACTAGGGATCATTCAAAAATTACGTAACGCACTTTTCGGGGATTTAGCCCCCCCCCCCCCCCCGTGTATATCGTTTCGTAACGCAACCCGGTTCCCCTTAATGATCATGCAACAATTGAGTTTAAAGAAGAACCATTTTACATAAGTTCTGCTCTGTGACAAAGTTAAATAGGTGCAGTAAATTAACTGTACTAAGGTAGCATAATAAATTGCTTTGTAGTTTAAAGCTTGGATGACGCAAAGAATGAGGAACTGACTTTTTTAGTTAAAATAGTACAAATTAATATTTAAGTGAAAAATCGTTATCCCTTAAAATCCTAAAAATCGTCGGAAACCGCTGTTGAATATACACTGGAAAAAAGTGTTAGGAGTATTGTCCCCTAAAATTGCAGTACTACCCCATTTTATTGGATGATATGAGCATTTCCAATTAATTTTGGTTGTGCCGCAACTCAGGTTGAGGAAGTACCACAATATTTCAGTTAGTAAACTAATTTATTCGGGTACTACCACAATTATTAATTGAAAATGTCCAAGTTAGAACTTAACCCTTATCGCTTTTTTCCCTAAGTAAAGGTGGATAAGATTTGGGGAATTTTAATGATGGTATGTCGAACAACATCGGAGCAATGAGGATGATACATATTTTTATTTTTTGTGTTTTTTACCAATAGAGAGGGTTACGTATTGCTGGCGTATCATCCATAACTTACTGCATTCAATATCGACCAATTCACTCACAATCAGATTGCCAAACAATATCGTACTTCCAGCTCATGAAACAGGTAATTTTTCCCGTTCTATTAAGTTTTAAAACTAATTTCAACAAACAAAAAAGGTTGGCCAATATTACCTCTTTCTCCCACTTTTTTTTGCCGATAATAAAGGTTGTCTAATATTTTCGTTATCCAGTGCTTCCTGAATAGTGATCCGGCACATCAACAGACTTTTTTGAATTCTAAAAACATTTACTCTCTATTTGATCGTATTTATTGTGGATTTGCAGAATAAGACTTTGCCCCACATTTGCCCATTTTTTTTTTTTTTTTTTTTTGCGATATGCGTAGCATGGCAAAGCTATTACCATGTGGAAATTACAAATTAATTGAAAAGAGGCAGGACTAATGGAATCATTAATTGGAAAATTGTTTACCAACCTGTGAGATGATGAGATAGAATTTTTAGGATAATGATGTAGTAAAATACTGCAAAAATGTGCAGAAACTTCATGGCTTCATTCAACAGTGCGCATTCAGCACGGTTGAACGTCGAACTTCGAAATAATAAGCGAAAAACTCCAAGTCCAAAAGTTGTGTCGAATTCCTCTTGCTGCACTTAATATTTCGATGAGCTTTAACGATGGTCGGTCAAAAGGAAAAGACATGTACTTTCAACAACACGGTAAAATTGAAAATCAGTGTGTGTGGAAGCGGAATAGGAACTAGTGCTCTCTTTTCAGGTGACGATGAGGCAAAACAAGTGGCTTTAAGTCAAATTGCGCATGATCCACTTTTCAATTTCCACTTTTCAATGATTTGAAAATTCCAGTTCGTCATCGCTTCTCTGGTGTGAGGGCATAATTCGATTTCCGCATGAGCATGAGCCCTAGAAAGCATGCATTTATATGTAAAACAGAGCTCAGATGGATATTGAGGTATACGCTCTTACACGTCGAAGGGATCCAAATTTTTCTCCGGAGGAATATTACCCATTTGTTCGTAAAAGTTAACACGCAATCTCGTCATAAGTGGCTCGCACAAAAAATAATTTTGAAAAAACGTTTCAAATCTCTCGCTAAAACACTTCCATTGCGTTTGCAAATGCATTGAAAATTTAGAGCTATTGGAAGAGCCGCGCAACATCAATGTTCCTCATTTTTACACTTTTACGTCATGGAAATTTTTATCACTGAAAAAAAAACTCCGGCCGTGGGAGCCGAAATTACGGGCTATATAGAGCTACCGTCCGTTCCGGGCTCAAAGGCCGGAAATTCCGGCTGCTGGAGCCGTAACTTCGATTGCTCCGGGTTCAGAGGCCGAAGCTACGGCTCCAGCAGCCGGAATTTCCGGCCTTTGAGCCCGGAACGGACGGTAGCTCTATATAGCCCGTAATTGCGGCTCCCACGGCCGGAGTTTTTTTTTCAGTGATGTTATGGAAATTGGTTTCAGACAGCACGGCTATACCGTCCCTAAAAGCAAACGCTGAATGGACGTTTGGATTTCGTTTCATGACGCCCGGATAGGTAAATTATTTGATCTGGAGGAAAATGTCGTATGTGACGAATACTTTTACCAGAATTTTCCAGAAATTCCGAGTTGCATGGATGGATTTAAACGGAATCAGCCAGACTACATTCCACAGTGCCTAACTTTCTTTTCTTATATTATCTGTTTAACAGACCATCAAACTGAACCATGTGAACTTTCCCTGAATGTAACCTGGATTACGAATAATAGACTCACAAATTTACATGTTTCAATGTTGCATCGTTTTCTAATCCAAAATAAAACATCGGAGATAGTCAGGCGATGTCAGACATATTGAGGCTGATTTCGGGAATATCAATCCAAATAGTTAATCAAATTCTTTAAAAAATTCAAATAAAAGTAGAATCATGGGGTTTTTTGATCATTTTTATTTCATCAAAAGATATTTTGCAACTCCCACTGGACGTCACTGGTTGATAGAACAATGTTTCTCAGCACGGCAGACGGCAGATGACGTCTGAACTTTAATTAACAAAAATCCACAGAAATTTTTGGCTTTATTTTTTCCCGCTAACTTAAATTAAAAATCGGTTGATGGAAAAAAATAAAAAATTGAAAATGAAATTAAATCAATTTCAACAAGAGAAAAACTGGGAACCTTGAACTAGTCAGATTAATCGTCATTCAGATAAGCAGAGATTTCTACGGAGAGCTGTGTTCTATAAGTTTTTATCTTGAATATTAGAATGCCGTGAGTGAGTGAGGCAATGGGAAAAGGCTTTGTTCATGACGTGGAGACTTTAAAAGCTTTTATCTTCGTTAATGCAAAACACACGTGTTTGAAAGTGGCTTTGTTGATTTTCTCGAAACATTTCCTTTGAAAGTAACCCAGTAGAAAATGTCCTGCCTTTCATGTAGAAATCCGATGCTTCCAATGCCTCATCCCACTTGATCATTCGTATTGCACCGCATACAGTGGACGAGTCAACAGAAGAGGTCGGACAAAATTTGGAAACTTTAAAAGCTCATAACTCTGTCTATATACAATTTTGGGGTTCTAAAAGTGGTTCCATTCGTTTCCTCGTGAAATTTTCTTCTGGATTTACCCCTTAGAAGTTCAAATGTGACGAAATAAACATCAGAATTTGCAGTTTCAGTCAGAAGTGTAATGTCCGACCTCTTTGTTTGATTCGATCCATTGTGTGCTGGCAAGGAGTGTGGGAAACTTAGGGACACAGCGAAAAATGTCTATTTAAATGCATGTAGAATAGTATACTTATTTAGGCAGACTATCTCGACTGAGTGTGACTATTTATAATCGATTGAAAATACATAAATCACAGTAAACCAGATCAAAAGAATTGCTATTGAAAACGAAAGTCTCGGCAACTATACCAACATTTTACCTTGTTTCGGCATGAAAAACCTTCTGACAATAAAATCAGATCTCTTGCATTGCGTGTTAAACGCTTTCTCTGCTAAAATTGATGCACTTTAAATATTTCTGGGAAATTTGGAAATAATCATCCAGCGTACCTGAAAATACGCACGCATCTTCTTATTTTTAGTAATTTTAGGAAAGGTTGGTGTGTGATTCCATTTCAGGGAAGGTGCTCTAATTACAGAAAAAATTTCAATCTTGCTCATTACGAGTACATGACCATGTTCATTTTATCATCGATTAAGCATTGGAGCTACCGAAAAAATGTAAAAAAAAAGTTCTTACTAGAATTAGAGATCTAGGTTGGCCCCCTCGTGAGATACTCGAACACCTGAATGTAAATCATCATTGGAGATGTTGCATGTGTGAGGAATTTGCGATTTGACAGTTGATTCTTATGTAAAAGTTTGCGAGATAAACACGATGGTGCCACTGATTTTCTCTGAAATCAACTCTCAAGCTCAAAAAAGGCTCTCAAGTTGAGACTGTAATGGAGGAGATATCCCACGCTCTCCAGAGAGTCCACCTCTACATCAAGACAAACTCTCCATGCAAAGATAGGGAGCAAATACATTGACAGGGCTGCCACTTTATTTGGGGACTCTAAAACTGAAAACGCGGTATCACTGCTAATGTATTTGCTCCCTATCTTTGCATGGAGAGTTCGTCTCGATGTAGAGGTGGACTTTCAGGATATCGTGGGATATCCCCTCCATTTTGGCCTCAACTTAAGAGCTTTTTTTGAGCTTGGGAGATGATTTCAGAGAAAACCAGTGGCACCACCGTGGTTCTTGCGAACCTTTACATAAGAATCAACAGTCAAATCGCAAATTCCTTACACATGCAACATCTCCATTGAGGCACTAGATGCAAAAAGGGCACTTCTTGGTTGCAGTGTTTCAGAGTCTCCTCTAATATTTCATTGATTGTAAGAAAAGTAAATGCGTCCATTTCACTAAAAATTTCACTGAATATTCCTTATGATTCTCCAATTTTCCATGGAAAGCATTCTGGCAAAATCACCCATAAAATTCCTCTCCAAGGGATTGATTAGCAACAGAGATTCTGAAACACTGCAATCGAGACGTGCCCTTTTCGCATCCAGTGCCTCAATTTAAATTCAAAATTCTTGATTGAATAAATTGTTTTTGAAGAAAATGTGTTGCATACATTAAACGATAAAGGGAATGACAGTCTTTATTCAGATCTACTAATTCCACTCCTCTAAACCTCTTCTCAACTTTTAACTCCATTCCCTCAAAAATTGCGTTAGTTTCCTTCTGATAAAAAATGCGGTCCAAATTTTGCACGCGGAAACATGTGCTTTTCATGGATAGGATAATCCGTCAGAAATAGTGGCTTTCTCTTGCAAAATGTAGCTCATCCGCTATTAAATCGCTTTATACCGGGCGTGCGTCACCTAACAGATGAGAGGAAACAGGAAACACCGTAGAGGGAATCCATGTTTCCGCATGCACAGCACCGACACATAACATTTCCTACCGCATCTGATTAGCTAATAATCTCCACATTGAAAATATACACTGTCGTGCTAAGGAAGAACGCCGTATGAACATTCGAGAGTTGCCAAATTTCCTTCGATAAAATGTTTATTTTTGTGGAAGGTTATGAATATTTTCCTTAAAATTTTCAGGAGCATCAGGTAAAATTACGAACAAAATTATCTGAAAATTTGGAAGGACAATATTCACAAGTTTACCAGGAAACTCGTGTTTTATCAAAGAAAATTTGGCAACACCCAAAGGTTCATACGGCGTTCTTCCTTAGCACGGCAGTACAGCTATTATTACTGTAGAAAGTTTGGCTTTAAAGCTGTTTCATGAAAGGGTTGACCTTTTAAACCACAAAACAAGAAATAAATAAGCTAAATTACCCATCAAACCCAATTTTCACAAAAATCGGACGCCTTAGAAAAGTGCTAAAGACGAAAGTCGGAAAGTCTTTAAGGCTTTAACGGGCTTTGCCCCCCCCCCCAAAAAAAAACACATTTTCAGAGAAACTTTTACTCCCGTACGGTGCCGCAGCTGATGAATTCAGGGTTGCCACGTTGTGCGATAAAAAGTGGATAATTTACTTTGGTATAAATGGGAAAAATGCTGATTTTTCAGCAGTTCTGCAGGCATGTATGGTGACGATACATCCCTCCAGGATAATTTCGGCAGGATCAGTGTATACATGCAAACATGAGGTTTGGTTTAATGTAGTCAGCTTAAATCCGGCCTCAGTTTAACCTGCTGAGCAACCATCACGGACGAAATCCTCTTCCTCCTGTACTTTCACTGATTCTGCTTTTTGTCTTCGATCTCACATTGTAATCTCTCTTGCTGCTAATAAATTAATAGAAACGTGATACCACGAAACGAGTGGAAGCCGTAGGTAGGTTAAATTGTCATATTCCCAAAGGAGTTCGCTATTTTTCCTTTCGATTACCCAAAAAAAAGAGAAAAAAAAGAAAAAATAAAAGAAAACCTCCATGCAAGGAAACGGAATGTCCTATTTTGGACCCAAAAATCGATCGTCAAAATGTTGCGCATTCAAGTTCGGAGGCACAGTATTTTAGAACTTAATTTTGCACCCTCTTGAATGGGCTACACTTTTCAATTGGAAACTGTGATTCCTGAACTTTCAATTTTTCAGAATTTTGTGTTCGCAATTCCATCTATAACATCTGAAAATTTCAAGGAAAAATATGCATGCATTTCTTCGAAATTTTTGCTTTCTCGCTCCCCTAGTTTGAACTGGAACATTGGAAACTGTGATTCCTGATCTTTCAAATTTTCAGAATATTGTGTTCGCAATTCCATCTATAACGTCTGAAAATTTCAATGAAAAATATGCACGCATTTCTTCGAAACTTTTGCTTTCTTGCTCCCCTAGTTTTTTTTTTTTTTTTTTTTTTTTTTTTTTTTTTTTTTTTTTTTTTCAGGGAACATGTGGCATCATGCGAATGTTCATCCAGCGTTTTCCCTTAACGCGGCAGAATACCCGTGACGGGCCCCCTCCGAAACTTTCGGTCAAGAGTTCAGCGGACTGAAATATCTGTATGCGTGTTGATAAGGAAAAACGATTGCGAATTTCTCTCGATAGAACAAAAATGGGTAACGGGAGCGAATCGCTTTGTTGACCTAAACAGGCTATTTATTCGCTTAGATTGTTACCTTCTCTTCTCTTGGCCATTCGTTGGACTTTAGTAAAACCGTTATCATTTTCCGGCGCATGTCACCTGACCTGGGCGTGAGGCAGACATCAACGCTGCCAGTCTTCATGTATGCAAGGGAAACTGCCCCTCTGACAATTAGCGTGGCGTAATTTGCGATATATCGATTGATATGTCATTTAAAAATATGGAAAAGGATTGATAAACATGGTGTTCACTACGAACACCTTCATAATCGATTCTTCACCATAGCTTCAAATGGGGAAATATCGATAATAGATCATTGAACGACCCGTGAGGGGCTCTATTTGCTCTCGGGGGTTTCGTATTTCTTCTTATACTGCCGTGCTGAGGAAAAATGTCGTAAAGGTATTCGAGAGTTGCCAAGTTTCCTGCAATAAAATGTTTATTTTTGAGGAGTGTTATGAATGTTTTCTCCTGAAATTTTTAGATAATTTAGATCTAACTACGAAGAAAATCTTCTGAAAAATTGAACATGAGGTGAGGCATAGCACTAACATTCCCCAGAACGTACATTTTACCATAAAAACTATCCTCCCCGGCGGGGAATCGAACCCCGGTCTCCCGCGTGACAGGCGGGGATACTGACCACTATACTACCGAGGACTGATGAAAAGTGCAAGTAAAATTTAATTTGCTGTTGTATGTATAGGGGCACTTGACACTTATCGCTCAGTAGTTTCCACTTAAAAACGAAATTCATCAAATTTCAGACACCTGCAAATTCTCTTATTGAACTTTGTCGATTTGCTTCGATTGAAAATTCGGCTTCTTAAAATTTACGATTGTCTCGCAAGTATTTTTAGTGCTATTAGGGAAGAATCAAACTTTCTCCCTCGAAAATGTCATTACTGTATAAGTGTTTGATGTATTTACTAACTACATGTTTCAGTTATCTATTCTGTATCTTTTTTGATTGAAATTTCAAATTTTGATATTGATTTCGTCACAAATTCAATTTTAAGGGGCATTACGGAGAGAAAATTTCACGTAAAAACCAATGAAACCACACTGAAACTTATATATTTCGTATTCCCAAAATGCAAAATTTCCAGATTTTGTCCGACTTTTCCCACTGACCTGGTCCAGTGTATGCCGTTTGCGAAAGACCGGTGATTATTTTCAGAAACATAAAGTATCCATTTATGATAATGAATCATCAAAAGTTTAGCTCAAAGATCTCTGCAATTCGACAACGTTGCATTTAGCATCTTTTATCTCTCAGTCTGCGATCAGTTTATCATTTACATTTTAACCTCAGTTTAAGCACGGGAACTGTGCGGGTGATTTGAATTTTGGAGTTCGAGAATCTCGACTAGTTTAAAATCCACCAATAATTAGTGCTACTCTCTATTTTATATCTTCATTGCAAGACAAATTAGGTAATCGTGTTGAGAAGTAAAATAACAGTTTTGAAAAATGGTGCTTGCATATGTGTAAGTGTCGTGCATTGTGAGTGGAGTTTCATTCCGCGAGTTATAAATCCCGATGGAATTCACCGTTTTATATACTTACAATTAGTGGTATCGTTTTTTGTTGTAATACGATGGTCGATCAAGCATGAATTTAGTCAAAATACCTACGCAAACGCAAGTGTTTCATTTTTTATTTTTATGATATTAAAAGAGTAACCTGAACATCCATTTCACGATGCTAGGATCAAATCGATGGTCCAAGCGACCTAAACCTTCGTTTGTCGCAGTGCTAACAATTTTTATAGTAGTTTTGTTTACTCATGTTGCCGGCAAAAAAACATCGTCATCCCTGACCTCACCATCAGTGCATAATCATGCCGCGACTCGGAACAGCGAACAAAACGCTAACCAAAGCGGCCGAAAGTTGTCGTGGATATCGCATGTGCTATCGGAAAAGTTGTCGAATTTTCGACCCAGATCGCGCACAAACCACCTGTGCAATCAACAAAGTGACCTATACGAGGAGAGCTTGCGGAACTTTACGCTATGGGCTGTGCAAAGTGAGTATTCAGATGTCCTTAAGAAAATTGGATCCTGCGATTTAAAAACTACTTGTGAAGAGTACAGAGTGATCCAGAGTTCAACGGCCCCAGAGAAAAACTTAATACAACAATAAAGTATTATTTTGACCCATAGAACACGCTACTGCAGTATGGCCGTTCAACCCCGCATTACCCTGTATACAAATACAAAGAAGTACATTTTTAAGAAAGCATGCTTTCCTCAAGAAATCTGGAAAGGAGGAGTCAAGCGATTCAGAAATCGAGAGGGGGCAGCAAAGCTCTCGAATGTTAATGTATCCGTCGTGATTTTAAAGTCAGATTTTAGCAGCACGGATGGTGGATATTTTTTCTTCAAAACATTACCACTGAAAATTTATAACTGGATAAACGCATCTCACGTGCTGTTATGATAAAGATGAAGAAGATGAAAAAGTATACCGAAACACGCATATTGTTAATTGAATAAGGTTTAATGGCTTGGATGCATTTCGGGCTTAGCCCATCTTCAGCAAGCACTTAAAACAAAACACAAAAACGATATAATTACAGTAAAGAATTGTCACAATGCATGATGGAAAAGAATATCGAGAGGCAAAGCGAACTAAAACACTTGGGAACTGGTCAAAAATGAAAAAATGTTAAAAAAATGTTTAAAAAACCAGTGGGAATAGCTGATAGAGTTAGCAGAAAAATATAGGAAACAAAATGAAGTATAGAGTGAATGACGCTAATATGCGTATAGACGACAGATATGCGTGTTTCGGTATACTTTTTCATCTTCTTCATCTTGAAAAATTGATCCTGAGTGTCAAATGATCGATATGTTGCAAACTTTAGCCAGAGCAAAAACAAGAAATCAGTAGGAGTCATCGCTGTGAACGTATTAACAAAATCTAACATTTACTCTTTACATCTCGTGCAATTTACATTAGAAATCGGCCCTCTTTTGAGTTCCTCGATTAAAAAAGTAAACCACGACCAAAAAGTAATTTGATCCACATTCATACCCCCCGGCGCTACAACTCCACGAGAAACTAAAATCAATTACTGTCATGCGATGCAATCTCTCGCTTAAAAATGAACAACATAATACATACGCCGCTCTTCCTGCATCTTTCCTTTTCTGCCTTCGAAGTTGCGTTCAATGAGAAGTGCTTTTGCGGTATGTTCTCATTTTAAGGAGCTGCGTCACATGAACAGCTGATTGGAGTTTTGCACGCGGAGTTGTGAGTCCGGGGTGACCTATCCGCGTCAAATCACATCATTACCGTATTATACTTTTTGAAGCAGGAGGCTCAAAATGCGCAAATTTTCTAAACGGATTATGAGGTAAGAAGCGGGTTTTTCATATTCCCGATACGCTCATGGTGATCTGTTTAGGCATTTTCACGGGGAAAAGAGGTAGTAATTAAGTCCCAACTTGGACATTTTCAATTAATTGTAGTAGTATACCCCAATATGTTGCGATAATACCCTATCTTGAGTTGCGGTATTATCACAATTCATTTGAAATGCCCATATCAGCCAGGGTGGTGCCACAATTTCAGGGGATAACCCCTCGCCTTATTTTTGTCCCTGTGAATCCTTCGATCAACTCACGATTTTCCCCAGGTTGAATTTACCATCAACGTATTAGTTTTCTGATTTTTTGTTGCTTCTGCAGTATATCAGTCAGTTTTTTTCTCAAATCCATAGGTATATCGTTTTGGGATTTCTGAATAAAACCAAGCGAAAAAGGGTGGAAATGTTTGTTAAATATGATTAAAATAGTGCGTTGGATAACCATGGTCGGATTCTAACTTAGGCTCCTCAATATTCAAAAAGAAAAGGGGTATTTTGACTGTTTAGCGATAATTATAGTTAAAATCTGCGTAATTTTTAAAGCCGGTCTTAGAGCGATTCGTCACGGTTTGCGGCTTGATCGAACTGGCGTGCGATATATCGCATCGATGAAGTCAAAGATAATGGCAGATTTTGAATTTGTAGCCAATAGAAGAACGATAGCCCTTATGCGGAAGAGTCTAAATAATCATTTCAAACCAAAAAATTGGAAAAATTCAGCGAAATGATATCAGGATCCTGTTTGGAAAAAAATATCGCACTCAACAGTTATCCATACTGTATACGCATACTGAATACTGATACTGCAAACGTGCACAGTTATCGATTTCCTCATCGAATGCGGAGTTTTTCCCAGACAGGATCCAGCATTCATTTCCATGAATTTTGCGAATTTTTTAGTTTAAAATGATTTTTTAGGATCATGCCTGCAATGCGTGCAATAATCATTACTATCGTCATTATATGGGGCTAAAAAACCGAAATTTGCCGAATTTTTTTACGTAACCGATACGATGTATCGCACACCAGTTCGACCACGCAAAATACCTTGACGAATCACCTTAATAGTGTACGAAATAGACGTCTACTCTATAAATAGCTCCGTCCAAAAATGCGCCTAAAAGTTTCAAGGGCAGCTCGATAGCAAATAGCCCTCTCCTCTTTGATCCGACGCATTTTTTTTATCGCGATTAACCTAACTTAATAGACTAGGCGGAAATTGTATGTACTAATATGACATAAAAAATTTATAATCGTTCCGTAATGCTTCTTTCAGCCCTTGATTGACCCACAATCAAGCACTGATTACCTTTATCAGTAATCTCTTGTTTCACGTGCCGTCAAAATATTACGAGGAGCCGGTTTCCTCTTTTAGGAGCTGAAACTGAGTTATTACGTATGGAATTTCCATAACTTCGAATAACTGAACCCTGATAAATTCATCATCTGTTCGATAAACGTGACTGCAAATATTTTATCCTCATGACATCACTACGCGCGCGTTCTTGGAGCCTGTTTCCAACACATTTTGATGTCGCTCAATCTCTCCGAGAGGTAAATTCCCAGGCTCCGTGAGTGTTAGTGAAAGATTAAATTTTCACCAACTGCAAAGATTAGAAACTGGAATGGACCGGGAAATTTGGGGTACGGCAGGGAACCAATGGAATGAGAGAGGGAACGGAGATAGGAATTCGGGAATGGGTTGATCAAAGATTACAAAAAACTCCGATTTGTGTAATCATTATTCCCGTTTGTGAAATGCATAAGCCGCGTTGTCTCAGCTCTCTCTAAAAGGACTCTACGCGTCCGTATTTTAAAAATCCTTCTAACGAAAAGCCGTCATGTTCATTTCACAGTGAAAGAAGCGTCTACCTCTGCGGAGTCCTTGCCGGGAATGCTGGTGGGACAGCGTTTCCACATAGGCCACTACGATGAATGTATCGCCATCCGTACCTCAGCAGTGGCAGGTCGCTTTTGCCTGGCAAACATCAAGTTTTGGCCCACTCAAGAGGTCTACCCCGAATTCTACACCGATCCCCTGGAATCGCTAGAGGCATCTCCAGACAGTAACGCTTGGGATAATTTCAAGGTATCTCATTTAAGTCATGGGTACAAAGCCTATTAGGTTAAAGTGATTCGTCAAGGTTCCTGACGTGGTCGAAGTGGCATGCGATACATAGCATCGGTTATCCATTTATAAAAAATCTCGGCCAATTTTAAATTTTTAGCCCATTAAATAAAATGAAAGTCTTTGCGCATGAGCCTTATGAATCATTTTAAATGAGACAATTGGCAAAATTTAGAAAAATAAAAGCAGGATCCTTTTTGAAAAAAAAAAATAACCTCGCATTCAATTTAGTTATTGATTTCTATATCTATGCGAAATTTTTTCCCAAGCAGCATTCTGCTTTCATTTCTCTGAATTTTGCCAATTTTTTGGTTGCCATCCCAAAAAATGACGGTATGTTCCTATCAATCAATTGATGGTTTCTCAAACATAAATAAAATGTCATCTTTGCCCGCATGAACAATACACATCAATGAATCATATGGATCAGAATCAGCCTAAGGGAAGGAGTTCGAAAGTGACTTCTGTTTCTAGCTCTGCGTTAAAGTCTCCTTGGAAATCCCTTTCATTCTGCCCATGTTCATTTCAGGATTCGTTTAAAGATTCAAAATACAGTAAACCGATGGGAGCAACTTAATTAACTTCGGTGTGAGGATGGGTTGCATCGGGAGATTTGAAGGCGACCTGGCGGAGGTTTTGTTTCCAAGCGATGCGGTGCCCAAACAGTTTCGCTGTAAATTACACCATCACCCTCATATCGTGATGAAGGAGGATTTGTAGCATAAGGGTAAGAAATATGCTTCTGTGCCATGGAAAACGCCGCAAGAACTTTCAATTGTTGCCAAATTCACATCGGAAATACATCGATTTTAAAGGGAAATTTGGAATATTTTTATTCCAAATTTCAAAATAAGTTTGTTCGAAATTCAATTAAAAACATCTAAAACTTTCAACGAAAAATATTCGTAGCTTTCTTCAACAATTAATACTGCTGTGCTAAGCAAGAACGCCGTAAATTCATCTAGATTTTCCCTCGTTTTTTGACACTTTATGAAATTAAAACTATTTTACCAATACACCTAAAATTTTCAGGATAAGTTCTGGATAGTATTTTCAAAAAAAATCTGTAAAAACATTATCCCAAGGTACGCAATTTTTTCTGCTACGATGCATCGTTTTAAAAACATGTAAAATGGTGTTGTACGGTAGAATATTGCTTTTTCGAGGAACATTTGGCAACATTGGCATGGGTTTTTCCTTAGCACTAAAGTGCGTGTCACGTCAGAAAAGGCCATGGTCACGTTGAAAGGGGCGACTAAAGCCGCCTCAAGACAGAATATTTTTTTGTCCCGAAATTTCAACGAAACAAAACTATTTTCAGGTGAGCAAAAAATGGTTCCGACTGGATCGAAACGACTTGATATGGTCTCTCTGCGTCCCGGCGTCCTGTTCACGTCAGGACGTCGAGGAATCTCTGAACGCGACGTTTGCTGACGTCGAGACGAAGCACGGGATCATCGTGAAAATTCAAATGCACAACAACGTCTGTACGTCTAGTATTGACGAAGCGCCTCTTCCAACTGAAACCAAAGCTCTCCTGTAAGTATGATTTCGAGGTATACTAAACAAGACCAGTGGCGTGACGTGAATTGCGATATATCGATTGCCATGCCATTTAAACCTTTGGTAAAGAATCGATTATCGAGGTGTCCGCTGCTAACACCCTGTTTATCGATCCTTTTCCATAGGTTTAAATGGCATGGCAATCGATATATCGCAAAGCTCGCCACGCCACTGAACAAGGCGTCCCAACGCAATTGCGTTGAAGGGCGCTTCTCTCAGTGATGGGAGGAAGTAAGTACTGCTGTGCTGGGGTAGAACGTTGTATGAGCCTTCAGACGTTGCCAAGTTTCCTCCGATAACAACCAAAATTACCGGGAAAATGGTGATTATTATTTTCCAAAATTTTCAGAATTTTTCTAAAATATCTGAAAATTGCAAGGGAACAGATAGAAAAGTGTCTTCAAAAATACAGTAGGCTTCTATGACAGCAGATTAAATTTGACATCACATTTCCATCAGTCCTCGGTAGTATAGTGGTCAGTATCCCCGCCTGTCACGCGGGAGACCGGGGTTCGATTCCCCGCCGGGGAGGATAGTTTTTAATCGTAAAGTGTACGTGCAGGGGAGAGTTAGCACAATGCATTTTCTCATGTTCAATTTTTTTTTTCCAGAAAATTTTCTTCCTAATTATATCTACATTATCTAAAAAATTAAGGAGAAAATATTCATAACACTCCTTAAAAATAAACATTTTATTGCGGGAAATTTTGCAACTCTCGAATGTCCATACGGCGTTCTTCCTCAGCACGGCAGTATAGCTGTCCATTCTTTTCCAGTCAAATAAAACATAAAAGAGAACCATAAAAATATTTTCCTCGCGAGAAATCGTACCCCGACCTCCGCGGTTCCGGGAAGCCGGGCGCAGAAGCACTCGGCCACGTGATAGCAAAGAGAGCAGTAAGCGTCAAATTATGGAAATCATGCTTCCTTCAAAATTCCTCCAATCTCTTTTGGATGAAATCACTGAAATAGCTAAAACAGCAAAATGCATTGAAATTGTATGAAAACGAGACATAAGAGAAAGCAGTAATGGCGGGGAAAAAATGATGTAGTCTCGGGAAAGACAGCAGTAAGTGACATTAATCCTCCAGAGAGCGAATGAAAACAGTGCTTTCAATAATACAGTGCTGCCCTCCTCTGCCAATTTCTAACCTGAAAATGAGTTTGTTGCGTGTCCAAAACGCCACCACGAAAGCATGCAGAAGATAGCACATACGGCTGTCTTGCCGAACAATAGCCTACGTGAAAATGAAAAATGCCCTCTCAATGTAATTGAAATGAATACAGTCGATTTTTAATCATCCAAACTACTTCTGGATGATTAGTGGCAATTTGACAAAAAACGGAGGCTTCTTTCAATAAAATTTCCCGGTCAGAAGCTTCTGACCCCGTTTTCCCAAAACTCCATGTTTGCACTTACTGCTCTCTTCGCTATCACTGCAGCACTGGACAGCGAGCCCATGAGAAATCACACTATTTAAACCGACAGTTAGACACTTCTCTCGGAGAATCGCGAGAAATTGCGCACGCTCATTGGCCACATGAGTCAGCTGTAACTTGGCCGAATGGATTGGACTTGACGCAAATTAATATTTGGATTCTCGTGAATTAAATCAATCAATCGTTCAATATAAACGTCTGATTTTGGCATTTATGGACGTAATGGGTCTGAAAAAACGTTTCCTGTCTGCATGATTTCCTGTATACATATATTAATTTTTTATTGTTTTATTTTAAAGACACTTAATCATAGTAATGTAAATAATTATATAAATTAAATTTGCTCTATTGAGAATACACACTCCCTAGGGATATACAAGAATGTCCTAGTACCAATGACTTTTAAAAGAAATTCTACAAGAGGTTGTTAAAACAATGTTAAAAACTTGTAAATTTTCAGTAAATAAAGTCTTAAAATACTCGTTTTAGGAAACATTTTTGGGAAATTCTTTTAAATAAAAAATAGGGTTATTTTAATTAAAAGAAAACGTAAAATTTACGTGAAAAATCAAACTTTATCCTCAATTTTTACGGGCTGCAACTTTTCCTTTTATACTTTTCTGTTCACCACTTTTTCCCCCTCGTTTTTTTCCGCGGGAAATTTATAAAAAATACGTAAATTTTACTCAAAATTCTTTAGAGTTTTTTTTTCTTCTTTAGAGAAATTTTTAGAGATTTTTTACGTAATTTTCAAGTGGTTTTGAAGTAAATTTTAACGAGTTAAGATTCACGCGTTTTTTACAACTTTTCTCAACAGCCACTGCTACTAAGGTTGAGTAATATTATTCTCGCTAGGATTAAATATTAATACTTGCACTTTAAATAAAATAATGTCTTTATCTGATATCACCTTCAGATTGCGTATAGCTTTTGAGGGCTTGTGATGAGTAGTTACAACACTTGGAGGATCTACTGAATAAATATGTATCGCCATTGAAAACTGATTAATTCATTTTTCGATTACGTTTCTTTTTTAACTAGATACGTCCTCATCTTTCTGAGCATATTTTGCTTTATGGCGACCCTGTATCATCTTGCATCATGGAACATCATCCACATTCTCGACGACAAAGGTTGGAAATTTTCTGTCATTTGCACCGTGTATGTGAGTTATATTTCGGATTATTAAGTGGGCCCATATGAAGAGATCTAATTTTCATCGCATTTGAATAGTTTTTAGAAATCATCAACGACAAAATAATACACGCATAGATAAAAGTCGCTTTCATAGCGCGGATCTCTGGAGCTCTGCGACGCTCAATCGCCACATAACTCGGTCCTCCCACGACCTGTCAGGGAGTATGAAAAAATGAGGGAGTTTAACTGAAATGAGGAAGTACCAACTCCCTGACTCCATCCACGACAAAATGATAGTGTGAGAAAACTGAGTCTGAACACGGAAAAAAATAGGTTGTCTCTAACAGCTAATGCGGTATGGTTGAAAAGTAAAAAGCCGTGAGAATCAACAAAAATAGTTGGATTCACCAGCCACGTTGACCGATGTGACCAAGCACGAATCCAATTTACCTATACGCCTAAATTAAATCCGACTGTTGCATCTTTTAGTGGTTCAACCAGC